ACAGTGTAATTAAAGCATGCAATTGTTTTCCAATAACAAAACTAGTTATGTTATATTGCTTTAGGGCACAAAGGAAATGGTGTTTGATATGACGTTGTAGGCCCTTCTCGGGTATAGCCCTTTTTTACATGTATTGCCATTACAAAATTACGAAAACATGGCAGTTATTGTATTTTATTTAAGCGAATTTTACAGTATTGATTTATTTGTTTTCTTCTTTTGCTGGAATTGGAGGAGGTCAAGGTTGTGTAGATTTGTCTCCCTCTAAATATTATGCATTTTAATCGATGGTATTCTCCAAAGAACGACCACTACATTTCATTGTCATTGTTAATGTCATAGATTTTGTGCTTGCTAGATCATCGATTCGATCATCTGCGCTTTAAAAATATACAAAATCATTTGGCGTTGTTGTTGTTGTTACATTTATGTTTTTAATTTAGATCTCCGTTGAGATACGATGAGGGTCATTGTTTGACCATAAACAAGAACCGAAGAAGAACAGATAAAACAAATCACATAATACTGTGTAAAAGTCGTTGTGTTTACATCAACATTTCTATGCAGACACATGGGGACATTGGGTTGTGTCGAACGAAAAAAAAGAAAACTAGTAAAAAAACTTTAAGTTCGACCGGACAAAATTTTCAAAAAAAAAGTAAATAAATAAATAAAATCCTTTAAAAATTCTGTTAAAATCTTAAAAATACAGAAAGCAGCCGTTAAATTAGTGTCTATACGACGATGTGGACCTGCAGAGGCAACTTTTGTCATAAGTAATTACAATAATCAAATGCGAAATTTGAAAAAAAATCGGTGAATAATGTAGCTAAAATCATCAAAATAACAAATATCAAGAGGTGCCGTTACATGGGGGCTATACGAAGGCGTGGACCTGCACGGACAATTTTCTGTCGTAAGCTGTATTGTCCATAACGAACTTCTAATACCAAACTTGAAACAATTCCGGTGAACAATGTCGCTTAAATCACCAAAATACCGAAAATAGGGAGGTACCATTTATGGGGGGCTATACCAAAACGTGGACATACATGGCCCATTTTCAATACCAAAAGTCCTGCAGACATAATATGTATTTGAGTAAAATTTTATCAACGTACTTCATTTTGTTCGGAAGCTAGAGTGATTTCCACAAACGGATAGACGGACGGACAACGCTAAATCGTCATAGAATTGTATTCTGATCAAGAATATATATACAGATGCGTTTAAGGTCTGCTAGACTTTTGGTATTGAGACTGGGCTTTATAGGTCCACGTTTTGGTATAGGCCACAGGAGGTAGTAAAGGATTTTTCGGAGTTTTAGTAACAATTTCAAACCGAATTTGCTGTACATTGGAAATATGTATTCTCAGTATGTAGGAAACATCCTTGCAGAGAACTATACACAAAGATCAAGTTCTGGAATAGACCCTATTGGCTCAACTCTAGTTTAATAAAAACTCTCGGATTTTTTTGAATTTTTTCCAGGGGTAGGTATTTGATCCTTGATTCTTGGAAAGTATTTATACCCAACACCACATAACCACATAGTGGTAAGGGTATTATGTCTTTGTGCATTTGTTAGTTACTTTTGAGAATCTTCATAGAATCACTTTCTGAGTCGATTTATGCATGTAAGTCCCTCTGTCCGTCGGTCTGTCTGTCTGTCCATGTATTATGGTGAACAAAATGCAGGTCGCATTTATTATCTGATTGAGATGAAAATTTCCCAACGATATTTGTTTGGCCCAAGGACGAACCCAATTGAAATTGGTGAGAATCGATTAAAATTTAAATATAGCTCCCATATATATCTTCAGTCAATTTCGGGTTACTTGTACACTAAATGGCCAATATCGTCTCAAACGACTTGCAATTTGGCACATCCGACCGAATTTAATCTAGAAGCAACTGCATCAAATTTGGTGAATATCTGTTTAGATATAGCTATGGCTCCCACAAATATGTTTCATCCGATTTGGTGTTTAAGTCCCTCGCATTCGTAATATGCATTCCGCAAGAATGATATTTGGTACCAGATATCAGATACAGTACAGAAATACTTCTGCCAAATTGTATCATGACCGGTTTAGACTTGGATATAGCTTCCACATATATATTCAACCGATTTCGGGGTAACTGTACACCAAATGGCTAATATCAATTCAAATTGCATGAGTTATAGCACATCCGACCGAATTCAGTCCAGAAGTAAGTACATCACATATAGTTCAGATATATCTTTAGATCCCACATATATGTTTGGTGGAACTCGGCTCCGAAATATATATTTTTTTTAATAATCCTTCTCGAAGCGATATCATGCGCCCTATATCAATGTTATTTGGTACAAAAGATAAAAGTGACTACGTCAAATTTAGTGAACATCGATTCTGAATTGGATATGCCTTCCATATATCAGTCACCCCTGAAATCAAATTATAACTACTCTGAAGGCAAATGTTGATGAGTGGTAAGATCTACTTCAAATAAATTCTTTTGTTGCGGGAGCTCTACTAAATATGCATAGTGGTGTAGGGAGTCATATAGTCGGCCCCGCCCGATTTTTCACTTTTCCTTACTGTTTTTATACCCCCTATCATAGTATGATACCCTCCATTAAGTTCGTCATTCCGTTTGTAACACCTCGAAATACACATTTTAGACCCCACAAAGTATATATATTCTTGATCAGCATAAAATTCTATGTCGATGTCCGCGATGTCCGTCCGTCTATACGTCTGTGCAAATCAGTCTAGCTTCCGAACGAATGGAAGTAGATTGATAAAATTGTACTCAAATGTATGTTATGTCTGCAGGACTTTTGTTATTGAAAATGAGCCATGTAGGACCACGTTTTGGTATAGCCCCCATATAACGGTACCTCCCGATATTCGGTATTTTGATGATTTTAGCGACATTATTTACCGGAATTGTTTCAAATTTGGCATTTGAAGTTCGTAGTGGATACTACAGCCTAAGACAGAAAATTATCTGTACAGGTCCACGTCTTCGTATAGCCCCCATATAACGGTACCCACCGATATTCGGTATTTTAATGATTTTAACGACATTATTTACCGGAATCGTTTCACATTTGGTATTTGAAGTTCGTAATGGATACTATATCCTAAGTCAAAAAATGAGCCATGTAGGTCCACGTCTTCATATAGCCCCCATATAACGGTACCCCCCGATATTCGGTATTTTGATAATTTTAGCGACATTATTTAACGGAATCGTTCCAAATTTGGTATTTGAAGTTCGTAATAGATACTTCCGCATAAAACAGAAAATGGACCATGTAGGTCCACGTATTCGTATAGCCCCCATATACCGTAGCCCCCGATATTCGGTATTTTGATGATTTTAGCGACATTATTTACCGGGATTGTTTCAAATTTCGCATGTGAAGTTCGTAATGGATACTTTAGCCCATGCCAGAAAATTGTCTGTGCAGGTCCACGCCTTCGTATAGCCCACCTATAACGGTACCCACTATATTCGGTATTTTGATGTAATAACTTATGACAATAGTTGTAATAACTTATGACAAAAGTTGCCTATGCAGGTCTACGTCGTCGTATAGGCATTCGGTATTTTTAAGATTTTAACAGAATTTTAAACGGATTTTTTTTTTTTTTTTTGAAATTGCCAAATTTGTACAAAATGGTGGAGGGTATTAAAAGTTCGGCCCGGCCGAACTTACGGCTTTTTTACTTGTTAATCCTCAAAGGAGTCACGAACCGACCGTTTTTGACCCTTTTTCAAAATGTGGCTAAAATCACTTTCAACGGTATTGTAGCAAGTCAATGTAAATTTTCTAAATTTTTACACCCCCCAACACTACGTTTTGAGGGTATTATATGCATATCGCAATTATCGTCCGATCCTCGCGAAATTTTGCATGGGGGTAGGGTTAGGGTCAGAATAAAAGCCCATTGTTCTTAAGATGTACATTTAGAGGTGCAAATGGACTAAAAAATTTTTTTTTTTTTAATTTTGTAGTCGCTCTATAGGCCACAATTGAAAACTAATCGACGCGGAATTTCGCATCAGAAGAGAGTTAAGAACAGGGAAGAAGCCTAGCATTTTGGATGACCATTGGATTTTATTTAGCTGTAAAATTTGGATTTTATTTAGCGTGTGAAATTGTTATGAATACTTAACAACACTACGGAGTGCGTAAATATTGGCCAAATTTTCCGGGTCAAAAAAACTAAGGGTAACCTCTGGGCGGGGCTCCTTGACATTATTTCAAAAACGAAATATTCCAGAATGGATTTGAATATAAGAGGACTTCGAACATATTGTAGTGTTGTAGGGAATCACATGGTCGGCCCCGCACGGCTATAGCCTTTGCTTACTTGTTTTATCTGCATTAGGTGAATTATGAAAATGGAATACTTCGATCAACTATTCCTGGTACCTCCAGCACATTTTAACATTTTCTAAAAATTATCACATATTTCATATAAAGTGAAGGAAGCAGTCGATTTAGTCAATACCTAGCCCGTCGCAGAATTTTTATCCGATACGAAATCGACAATATTGGCCCATTACTTTGGAACCTACCCCGTAGAGAGACAGCAATTTGAATAATCGCAACAGAGGACCGAATATATATAAATAATAGAACGTTAACTGAGGGTATATATGTGTCGGCGAAACCGACTGCTACTTTTTACATTGTTTTTTTTTTTTTTTTTTTTTTGAACGCCCTCAAATCTACCAATTTTTTTATGCGATACACCCTAATATTTAACGAAGAACACATTTTGCACATTTTTGTATACAACATACTTATATATTCCAAAAAAAAAAAAAAAAAAAAAAAAAAAAACATTTGACAATGATTTTCCACAAAATAAGTTTGTGGTAAATGTGTGTGGGATTGGCACAGATTTCGTATAGGTACGGTGATTTTCTCATAACTTATTCATAAATTCCGAAATGTGAAAATTCAACATCCAAGCGAAAAAGAAAAAAAGACTTACTTGAACTCGTGGATCCACTGGGGCATTATTGCTTTCCGTTGACATGATGGTGACTATGAGGATTTTGGTAATTGGGTTTGTTAAAAAAAACTACTGCTTCAGAGAGAATAAAAATTTTTTTTCGGTGATTTGTAAAGAAACAAATTTCACTTTTTTAATATCAACAACAATAACAACACATTTTTTCACTTCGTTTTCAACAAATTTCTAAATTTCCATTTAAACTTTTCTATGTTGGAAGAAAACACTTTTATTGATTTATCTCCTTTTTTAAATGAACTTCTTTTTCTTCTTCCCCAATTTCTTTTGCAAAATTCTTAGAAAATTTCATAACAAATTTGTTTGCCTTTTAATGCGTTTTTCATGAAAAATTCACTTCTTTTTTTTGTTTCCCGTTCATTTATCCGTGGATTTCGTTCGTTTATACTGCACATCCATGCGTTATATTTTCTCTACTTCGTTTGGACGGTCGGTCACTCGACTCGGTTGGTTGGTTGGTAGTTTGTAATATCTGCGTGTTTGTGTGCCTGTCTCTACAGCGGAAGAAATTTTCCAACTTTGCTGCTGCTGCTGCCGCCGATGTCGCTGATAAATGTAACTTGCAGCAGTTATATTCGATTTATTTTCCTCTCTTTTGCCCGTCTCCGCAAATTCATGCTCTGGATTTTCTCCAAGCAGATATGTGTGTGTACGTTTGTTGCTGTTATTATTTATCTTCGTCGTTTACTCCCCAGTTGTCCCCACCCTAGCTGTCGGTTGGAAATCTGACATTTTCCCCCATTAGGTTCGTTGAATACAACCTAAGGTTATTGTTGTATCTCTTTTCTACAAATTTTTGGGGGGTGAACTGAGCTAATGGGGTCGGGAGAAGGGGGGCTTTATTTACAGTTACTTTTTCCTCAGATATCAACGTCAAAGAGTGTTAACACCATTGTCTTGTGTCATTCGTTCGTTTACCGTTACCGTTGCACTCAATGTGTTTGGGGGTCTGTTATAGAATTTTCCTTATCGCCGTTTAGTCGCTGTCTAAACTCGCCAAGTTATCGCGCAAAACAGAAACGAAAGCAACCCCCATTCGCAAATTCAGCTCTTAACAGACTGTTTTCATTGCCTGTGTTTGCATGCCGTTGGGGCTCTTCGTCGTTTACTGTCTGTTTATATTTTAATGGGGGGAGAGACCATGTTTGCTCTCTGTCTACCTAACTCTCTCGTGACCATAGACAAAACATGCTCTTTGTTTTGTTTTCTTCTTGCTTTTTTGTTTTATTTGACGTTTTCATGTGCCACTCAGATGTCAGGTGGCGGCTATTGTTTATTTTCTTATCGAAAGACATTTATCTTTGGTTTCGTTTATCTACAATTTTATTTTGTTTTGTTTCATTGTTCGCGGTTTGTATCTCTCGAATACAACCATGTATATAAACAAAGATTTAATTTGTACAGTACACGAATCTTAGAGATACAAAGGTATACTGTACAGAGATCAGAGAAATATCCGTTATTTTCAAATTGAAAATTTTGAGATATGTAACCTTGTACCCAGTGTGACCGCTGGAAATTTTCAAAAAGTGTCACAAAAAGTATCATTTCTTGAAAAAAGTGGCACATATCATTTTAAATGGTGGCACAGAAAGTGGCACAATTTATTTCACATTTTATTTAAAAAATAACAGTTTAGAACAAAACAACAAATTCATCTATATGTAATACTATATAGTAATAATATATGTATGTACATATTGCATATTTAACCAGTAAATAAAGCCTTGAAGTCGGACGGGGCCGACTTTATGATACCCTACACCACTTTGCTAATTTAGTAGAGCTCCGCATAACAATTAAAAGTTTTTATGGGAGAACTAAATCATACACGCTATGATTATAATTATAATTTAAAGTTCAAAGGACTAAATATGCCGAAGCATTTGTATCTTTTAAATTCGGACTTGTATTGCCCATTTGGTGCACAATTAGTTTGAAATCGGATAAAGATATATATGGCAGCTATATCCAAATCGGAACCGATCTCGATAAAATTTGGCAAAAGTTATTTCTGAGCTGTATTTGATATATTTCCCTGAATATGGTTGTTACGGAGTGCATATTACGGTTGTGGGTAACAAATATGACAAATATATATATATGGGAGCTATAGCTATATATGAACCGATCTACACCAAATTTGACATACTAGCTTCTAGACTCAATTCGGTCGTAAGTGCCAAATTTTATCCAATTTGGGCAAATATTAGACGTTTGGTGAACAATCAGAGGTAAATCGGACGAAGTTATATATGGGAGCTATATCCAAACCTGAACTTCGTCCTTGGGCCAAACAAATGATTTGTACAAAATTTCATCTGGATAGGGCAATAAATGCGAACTGCACTTTGTTTACAAAAATACATGAACAGACAGACGGACGGACGGACATGCACAAATCGAATCAGAATGTGATTCTATGCAGATCATCAAAAGGGACTATGGGTCTATCACGTTTCCTTGTGACCACCTTGTGGTGTAGGGTATAACAAGTAAAAAAGCTGTAAGTTCGGCCGGGCCGAACTTTGAATACCCTCCACCATATGGTACAAATTTGGCAATTTTCAAAAAACTAAAATCCATTAAAAATTCTGTGAAAATCTTAAAAATACCAAATGTAGCCGGATATTAGGGTCTTTACGACGACGTGGATCTGCATACGCAACTTTTGTCATAAGCCTGCACAGACAATTTTCTGGCACAGGATGTAGTATCCATTACGAACTTCAAATACAAAATTTGAAATAATTCCGGTAAAATTGCATCTAAAATCAAAAAAATACTGAATATCGGGGTACCGTAATATGTGGGCTATACGAAGACGTGGACCTGAACGAACAATTTTCTGTCACAGGCTGTAATATCCATTACGAACTTCAAATGCGAAAATTGAAACAATTCCGGTAAATAATGTCGCTAGAATCACCAAAATACCGAATATCAGGGGGTACCGTTATATGGGGGCTATACGAAGACGTGGACCTGCACAGACAATTTTCTGTCATAGGCTGTAGTAAAGTAATTAAAAATTGAAAGAAAAGAACAATGTTGACAACTTTGAGAATGCGAAAACCACTTACAAACACCTAATATAAGAGCGTTCGCTCTGAAATTTGCTATCGCAAATTGGAAATGGCAGCGTACGACGCTTTTCATTGTTTCATTTCATTTTATTGTTTTAAATACAGCATTTAGATTAAAATATACGTAGTTTAAAAAAAGGTGGCACAATGTATAAAAAAGTGGCACAAAAATTCAAAAAAGTGGCTCATTTAGGATCAAAATAAAAAAGTGGCACAAAGGTATCAAAGCCCAAAAAAGGTGGCAAAATTGATACTTTAGTGGCACAACGGTCACGCTGCTTGTACCTTATGTTTACATTTTTTTTTCGAAACACACCTCATTGTCAAAATGTATATTCATAACTCCATTGTATATACGAAAATCAGAGATGGGAACCTGTTATCAATAAATTAATTTTTATTTTTTCAGGAGAAATTCAAATTGAGTTAGAATCAATATGCTTATTGCTACGCATATATGGACAAAATTTACCCTTTCTGCAACTTTCGTTAAAATAGCCTACCTTGAATTAAGCCTACCATGGTACGAACTACAACTACTAAATTTTAGACCAATCTGTTATAAAATGTCGCTTTAGACAAAATAACGAATATCCGAAGGTACCATTTACTTGTGGACCATTATTCACCGGAATTGTTTCAAATTTGATTTTTGATGTTGGTAATGGATACTACAGCCTAAGGCAGAAAATTGTCTGTTCATCTCCCGTTAACGGCACCTCCCGATATTCGGTATTTCGATGATTTTAGCTACATTATTCACCGAATTTATATACCCTCAGCTATATGGCTACGGAGGGTATATATCATTTGATACGATCAAAACGTGCCTAGTCGAAATAACGGTTTTAGATCCTAGGTCTCTTTGGACCAAATCCGTTTCAGAACATTTGGAGTCGATCTAGCGATGTCCGTCTGTCTGGCTGGCTGGCTGGCTGGTGCGCACGATAACTCTCGAAGGGAGTATCCGATTTGGTCCAAACTGGGTACATGGTAATATTTTTATCAAACTTAGATCGAGTTCGCAGATGGGCAGGATCGACCCACTCCTTCCGGTACCTCACTGACAAAAGGTCTAAATTTTCAATAAATATATTTTCTACACAGAAAGAGAACGGATAATAGGATTTTGCAAATCCTAATATTTGCGTCAGTTCTAGGTCAGGCGTGGAAGTGGACAATATCGGTCTACTCCATCAAGTACCTCCCCCACAAATGATCAAAATTTTGAATAATTGCAACTCCCGATTGTCTTGAAATTTCACACATCCCAATATTTATATTAACCCAAGGTCTGTTTTTAAGATGGAATATATCTGTCCACTCCTTCTGGTACCTCCCCCATAAATGGTCGAAATGTTCAAAAATATATATATTTTTTGCACAGAAAGAGAAAGGATAATCCGATTTTGCTCCTACTTTGCAACACCTAATATTTTCGTCAGTGCTAGGTCAGGTGTGAAAATGGACAATATCGGAACACTCCTTCAAGTAACTCCCCCACAAATGGTCAAAATTTGAATAATTATAAGTCTTATAAAATGTGATGTAATAATTCGATTGTCTTAAATTTTCACACATCCAAATATTTTTATAAACCCAAGATCTGGTGTTAAGATGGAATATATCGGTCCACTCCTTCTGGTACCTCCGCCACAAAAGGTCGAAATTTTGAATATCCATTAAGCTCATAAAACGCGAAATTAACATCAGATTCCATTTAGACTTGGTACATATGAATATTTCTATCAACACAGGATCTGTTAAAAGAACGGTAGAGGTCGGACCGTTCCGTCTGGTACCTCTCACACAACACGCCAATGTTTTGAATAACCGAAAAGTTTATAAAATCCGAACAGAATTTTTAAAGGATTTTATTTTTTTGAACATTGCCAAATTCGTTCCAAATGATGAAGGGTATTCAAAGTTCGTCCCAGCCGAACTTACAGCTTTTTTACTTGTTTTATGAACTAATGGATTTGTTCCAAAAATGCTTCTTAAAAATATTCCTCGAAAATCAATTTCTTTGCTATTTTTTAACCCATTCTTTTTGGCACAGAAGTTTTTGACAATTTTGTTAAAAAAAATACGTTTACTGTCAGGAAGACCTTGTAAGAATTTTTTTTTAAATTAACAAATTGCATACTCCTAAGTTATGGAAAAGATTTTCAAAATAGAAAATTTCTAGCAATGATCAAGCACAATAAAAATGCCAATGTGCCCTGATTTGGATCTTGGATATAAACCAAGAAAGTCTATATAGAGTTTTTGAAAGAATCTACAGGTTTCTGAAGTCTTTCCCATGAGGGTCCTGAGGGCGATATTAGGATGTTTGATAGCTTTGCAGGTTTCACACTTGTTAAAATATTCCAACGTCCACAATTTCCATATAGGTTACAATTTTTTGAAAAAAAAAAAAAAAAAAACATAATGTAAAAACACATAAAATGTTTTTTTTTTCTAAATTGGCGAGTTTTTGAGAATTACTTAAAAACCACAATTCCTATATAATCAGGAAGTCTTAAAAAACATTTAAAAAAATTCACGATTTTATTTTATTCTGCATATCGACAAGAAATCCACGTTTTTGGTATTTTGACCACCATTCATTTCCTAAAAAGTGTACGATTTTGTGCAGAAAAATATTGTAAGAATTATTTTCTTAAAAAGACACAGTCCGGAATTCTTAACAATTAATTTAAAAGTCCAAACTTCTTGACCAGGTAGTCCTTAAAAAAATATTCTTAAACGATCTTAATTACCATAACTATCTAAGTTCGGATATGTACGAGGGAGCATGACAATTTTTTGAGCCCTCGTACATATCCGAACGTGACGAGGAAGTGGATCGATATTGTGCGTCTGCGGACACAATTTAAGTTTGATACAAATATATTTTACGATGGGCCAACTTTGGACCATATCAGACATTCCCTTCGAGAGTCATGGTGTGCTCCATACAGCACAGATTTCCATTTCATTAATGC